CCAGGTATAGCAAACTGACGATTTGCTTCTCCTTGGGCCTCCTTCGTCTTCCCAGGGGGTGTAGTCCCGACACAGTAGCGCCAGTGAACCCTTGCCTCCTGGGCTCTGTCACAAGCTAGCCCACGTGTAGGGAGCCAGCCACAGCTAGGACACTTCAGATGCGCTGACCGCGAAACATCCACCGGCGTGCATGGCTCCAAGTCAGCAGCTTCATCAGGTATAGCTCCAGCAGGACCAGCCGCTGATGCACTTGCTTTGGACTTGCGTCGTGACTTCGGCGTAACACCTAGGAAAGACCTCGCCCTCTTGACCTCTGACGTGGTGGAAGCAGCTGAGATGCCAAAGAAACTCCTCGCGGCGTCCTCGTCAAAGGGCTCGTCCTTGTGGCTGCTGGATGCTGCCACGCTTTTGCCTCCTCCTGTGAAGGCATCTGGGTATGGTAGGGCCGCTTCACACCATTGCTGGGCAACTTCTTTTGCGAGCGATGCTTTGGGGCGCAAGAGTTGGTAGTGCTGATCTTTCAACGTGACCCACGCCACTTTGCTGTACTTCTTGGGGCTCGTGTAGAGGGTCCACCTGCCCCCCGTAGTATCTGGATTGAATTTCCATATCCGAATGTCAACTTTTGCGGCAATAGAAGTACACTTGATTGTAAGAGAATCAGCCATCTTCCCGCACGTTCCAATTCTTTGAATATCTGCGTCCGTAGCTCCGAACTTCTGCTTGTTCTTCTTCACCTCTCCCGCCACCAGGAGTCGCAAGGATTGCTGGACACGTCCTCCAGGTGCCAACTCGTTGGCGGGGACTGGCTTGCTTCCTGGCTTGAGCTCGTGAAGTCCGAGGCCCACGGCTAGATAAGCACAGTCCCCTTGGCCTCCGTTGTCTTGTAGGTCACAGTGCTCCTTCCACGGGGGGTCTGGAGCTGCTGTTCTCGCTTGCTTGGCCGCTCGAGCTCCAGCAGGGGCTGATTCGGCTGGTCGACGATTCTGCTGACCACCTTCAGTGCCCTCAGCGGCTGCAGCAGGTGGTGCTGCAGGCGGGTCCGAAGGTGTGTCATCATCTGGCTTTTCCTCATCATGCGTGGTGAAGGTGACCTTGGGCGGCGCTACCCCCCACGCACTCTGAGCTTTGACTCCTTGCGGTCGTTCACGATCTTTCCGCTGCGGTGGCTTCGCTGGTGTAACGATGACCCCGCTGCTGAAGTTGTAGGCCTTGTCATTCTGCGAGCACGCTGCAGCAAAGTCTCCTCGAAAAAACCATGTGCGTCGTCCCGTGCGAGTCGGCGACGTCACATTAGTCCATCCTCTCTGAACGGTCCAGGCTGTCAAGTCCTCAGGCGCTGTCCACTCCGCTGGCGCACGCTGGACCGCCCACCTCGGAAGGAGATCAGATCCAACCTGCTTCTCACTGAGCACCCCTAGAGGTGCATCATCACTCGGGCGATACAAGAGGCGACCTGTCACTGTGGCCGCTGCTGCAACCACTCTGTTCCAGTACTCGTCGATGGACTCATCTTGCCTCTGTTTGAACCACCTCGGCATAATCTTTGACTGCTGGTAGTTGCAGAAGACCCCCCTTGGGAGCTGCTCCTCCAGGAATTTGGGAATAGCGTCAGTCTTGATGATCGACAGCATTGTGATCTCACTTTCGTAATTCAAAGCTCCCTTCGTGCGAACAATATGTTTACATAACTCTGCATTGAACACAATAGAAGGAAGACTGGCTGGCTTCTGCGACGCTCGTCCGAACACGTCGTCGTCAGCAAAGTTCTTGGCACACGTCAGTCGCATCACCGTGGTGGGGGACTTCGGGGCCTGATATTCTTCATCATCTTTTACTCCTTGCGGTAGTCCTTGGCGCTTGGGCGCACCAGCTCCATAGTAGTATATCTGGCACTTGAGAGGTACAGACCCTTTCTCACCAGATGTCAAAACTTCGTCTGCAATAGCCCCCTGGATATTCTCAGACATTGAAAAGACTATGAATGTGGCTGACGATCCACAGGATGCAGTGAGCCAATCCTACGCTGCATGATACTCCGCCATCGTGTTGCATACAATGATGGGCGGCTTCCCGTTCTCATAGACTCGCTCCTTCAAGGACGGCGCCACGCAGATTGGCACCTCATTTCCCCAGTCGCTCGTCAGGATTCTTGGTATTGGCCTCGGTCCCTGCTTGGGTGTCGTGGGGCCCGTGGTCGTCGTTGAGGAAGGGGCGGTGACATTCTCAGCAGCAGAATCATCTTTGCCCTTCCCCCTCTTCGTAGTATCGACCCTCGGCAACATCGCTCGGAGACGCTGTTGCACCTGATACTCGTTCACAGTGTAGTTCCCTTTGTCATACTTATCAAGAAGCTGACGTAACTTCTGTAGTGTGGGCGGCTCGAGCTTGCGGCCAGCCTTCTTCGTAGTCGGCGATACCCCAGGCTGCACTGTCCCGCACAGTGCATTCATCGCCACCGTGATGTTTTTGATCTGCTCTGCGAGGTCGTCGATGCGCTTCCCCCGTCCGCGTCGAGCCCGCAGAGCGCCTTGTCCCGCACGGCCGCCTGGGTGGCCTTCCCCTCCGCCACCCAGCAGAGGATCCGCAGCATGTCCTGGTAGTGGAAGTTGAGTGCCTTGATCCTCGGACATGTCGAAGATCACGACCTCATCGAGAGAGATTTGTTGCCCTGCCATCGGGGCGATGTCGCTGGACTCGGCCTCGGCACAGGGTGCCGTCCCGCTACCACCACGTGGAGGTTGCCAAGCATCGGTGGCAATCTTGAATAGTCCGGCCTGCCATTGTGTCCTGTACGCGACTCGATCTGAACCAAACTGCCTTCGCTATCCAGATGATTCTGCTGCTTGTGCCTGCCCTTGGTGCATGCCTAGCCGCCTCCAACCTTGAACACGTACCCGCTCTTCGCAGGTGCGCCCTCTGCAGCTTAGTGGGCCCCGGAAACGGCAGGGCCGTTATTTCACCGTTTTCGAAAAAGTGCCCCTTGAAAATGGAAACGGCAAAAAAAACGGCGACCGGAAACGGCAAAAAAACGGCTCCAGGAGAGGAGCCGGGGCCGGAACCGGTCAAAACACGGCGACGGAACCGGTAAAAAAACGGCGTCGGAACCGGCAACAAAACGGCGAAACGGAACCGGTAAAAAAACGGCCCTGTCGTTTCCAGGGCCCACTGAGCTCTGCAGACCCGAGACCCCCTGAACACCACCACGGCCCACTGCAGGCCAACCCGGGGCTGTCCGAGTGGCTCGTGCGTCGGCAGCAAGGCGAGCTGTCGTGGCCGCCTCCTGTGCTTCGCGGGCCCCGGAAACGGCAGGGCCGATTTTTTTGACGAACGAGCAACACACACCCATACCCATAGGGGGTTCGTTGAGAGGAGGACTGGCTATTGGTATGGGTGCGGGTTGTCGGACCCTGGGGAACGCTCCCGTTCGAGCGGGGACCCCCATCCGACAACACGCACCCCATAGCCCTCTCCGACCCCCCTATGGGTATGGGTGTGTGTTGTTGGTTCGTCATTTTTACCGTTTCCGAACAAATGTCTCTTGAACATGGAAGCGGCAACAACAAAAAACGGCGGCCGGAAACGGCGAAACAATGGCTCCAGGATGGAATCCGGAGCCGGAGCCGGTAACAACATCGGCGACGGAACCGATGAAAAACAACAGCCTCGGCAGCGGCAACAAAAACGGCCAAACGGAACCGGTAAAAAAACGGCCATATCGTTTCCAGGGACCACAGGGCCCCTGCGCAATGCTTGCAAGCGCTGGGGCCAACGACGCGCGGCGCATGGGCTGTAGTGACAGACCGCCAGCGGTACTGCACGAGCTGTCGTGGGCGGGCCAGCCGTGGCTGGAGATGCAGTCGCCCGCAAGCGCACGATGAGGAAGGGCATTGGCTACTAAGGGAGGAGGAAGCGGCGTCGTCTGCTGCTCCTCCTCCTCCTCCTCCTCCTCCTCCTCCCTCCTCCCTCCTCCCTCCTCCCTCCTCCCTCCTCCCTCCTCCCTTCTCCCTCCTCCCTCCTCCCTCCTCCCTCCTCCCTCCTGCCTCCTCCTTCTCCCTCCTCCTTCCTCCCTCCTGCCTCCTCCTTCCTCCCTCCTCTCCCCTCCCTCCTTCCTCCTCCCTCCTGCCTCATCCCTCCTTCCTGCTCCTCCTTCCGAGATCGTGCGAGCGATTCAATGATCCAACGTCGATGCTGTGATGGCAGCGCTGGGGATAGGAGTCGAGAGATACCATGCGGGAAGGAGACGGAGACAGGAGGTCCGAGGGCACGGTGAGGGCACTGGACAAGGAACTGTTAGACCATTGGATAAAGAGTCCAGGGTCTGAAAGCTGGTGGGACACCAACTGAGGCATGGTCATGGATATCACCAACACCCTCATCAGATAAGGAACCCTCCAGGGTCTAAAACCTCCTGGGAACATCTCTTCTGTAAGCAGCGCCCCCCAATGTAAACCAAGGGTGCTGAAGAAGAGGGAAAGAAAACTAAGCATTGGAACCAGTGGGGGGGGCACGGGGGGCAAGGGAGGAGGAGAAGGAGGAGTAGAAAGGACACCAAATGTTCGATTCGACACAAAGCCCAGCACAAGAAAACTGGAGCATCCTGCTTATCTTGCGAAAGGTCGGCCTGGTGAGGGGCGCGAGGTGACCGAATCACGAGTTGACAGCGATCCCTGCGTCGCAAGTCCACGTTTCACAGGAGCTGAGTGGGACGACTCTGTGTCCAGATAGCATCGTTTGTCGCCGCGATGTCTGGCACTAAGGCGGGTGGAGGTGAGGACCTACCGTTGAAATCCGCCGTGTAGCGCGATTGTTCGAATCGACAAGTCCCCTGCAGCGGCGAGGAGTGGCAATGTCTGCTAACGGGGGAGGGAAGGCGAAGGACGACACACGGCACACGTGCGAGACAAACATGCGTGCCGCACGGCTTTCATGTGCAGGATTCATTTTGTGATAACCCGCCGGCGATCAGCAATCTGGCTTCCACGTCGCGCTGGCCACACTCAGCTCTTCTCGGACCCAGCCCGTTTCTTGCCTCGCCGATCAGAGCCCGAGGAAGTTCCTCTGCTCCTCGCTCTCTTGCTCGGCTTCTCGCCTCGCTTCCGCGCCTCAGCTGCGCGCCCCCGGAGGGAGACCGGGTGAACTCCCCGCGACTTTGGTCTGTTGAACTGGTTGGCCCACGATCGGATCCTGACGCCCCAATGGGGACCGCAGCCCAAGCCCTGGGCGGCCGCATCAAGCACGGACAGAACTCTGAAGACGGCTGTGCGAGAGCCTCTGAGGCTGCGGAACTGCTGATTCACACAGTCACAACGACATATCGACCCACCGATTGGCCCTCAGAGCCTCCCACGAAATGAATTACAGCCAAGTTCACAGCAAGGATGCGCGGTGAGGATGCAAGCCCCTTGAACGCCCATGCCGAAGCTTTCCGAGCGGGGCCGGCCATCGAAAGTGGTTATGGATGGACCGAGAAGGCAAGGATGCACGGGTACCCTTGTGAATGTTGCCCGTCCGTACTATAGATTTCGACTGTCCCCACAAGCGAGACGTCTATGCGAGGTTCATCTGGCACTTGCTTGAAATAGCACACATCGAAGCGAGTTTTCAACACACTCCAGACAACTTGCAAAGCATGGCAACATGATCTCTGGGGAGTTCTCGTGATCGCCGGGAAAAGCAAAAACAGCGATGAGGACGACGACCAGGCCAGCTGGGCCGCCTACCTTGCGCTTCGCCCCCGATGACGATGTCGAGCCGGCCCGCTTCCCGCCGCTGCTGCTGCTGCCGCGCTTGGCCTTTCTGCTGCGCCCCCTGGTGGCGAAGAGAGGGGGGGGGCAGAAGCAGACGAGGGGAAGACTCGGGGGAAGGCAGGGGGGGGGAGGCATGCAGAAGGCAGGGGGGGGAGGACGGGGTGGAGGACTCGGGGGAAGGCAGAGGGTGGGGAAGGAAGGGGCCCAGGGACACACCCAACCAAGATAGTCACGAGTCCCAAGACTCCCCACCTTTTCCGCACCTCCTGGGTGCTCGTCATCCCTCCCTTCTTCTTCCTCTTCCCTCAGCTCCCCTGCTTTTCCGGGGAAGTCGAGGCTCTTCCCTGTGCCTGTGCTGTTTTCCCTCCCTCGGGGGGGGGGGGAGAGAGAGAGGCGCGGATCGAGGATTTGTTTTGTGGCTGCGCGTGTTGTTTTCCCTCCTGGGGGGGGGGGGAAGAGGGGGGAAATAGGGGGTCGAGGGTCGGAGAGGGGGGGGGGCAGGCGAGAGCAGCGGAGGGGCAGCAAGCAGGAGAGAGCGCAGGCGGGGTGGGGGCAGGCATGGGGCTCGCCGTCGCTCGGACGTGCACTCCTCGGACGTCCACTCCTGGAGGAGGAGGAGGAGGAGGAGGAGGAGGAGGAGGAGGAGGAGGACGAGGAGGAGGAGGAGGAGGAGGAGGAGGAGGAGGAGGAGGAGGACGAGGAGGACGAGGACGTGCATTTTTCGCGAGATGACCGAACATGCTCCTTGCTGGCCGTCGCCGAAAAGTGCACACGTCCGAGCGATGCCAAGCACAACACCTTCCCTAATATTAAGAATACGGTGAGGGCCAAGGTCTGGAAGCCAGTCGATGCTCAATCGTGGATTGCCCATGGATATTACCACCGCCCTCAGCAGACAAGAAATCCTCCAGGGTCTGAAGCCTCCTGGGCACATTCCTTAACCAGCGCCCCCACCGTAGTACGACTCGCAACCCTCCCAGGCAATGGGCCTCACAGAAACACCGCACCACGGGAGAGCGCCATGGCGCCGAGGTGCGCTGCGCCCCCCTCGAAGAGTTGCGCGCCCCGACCCATCGAGGGCCCCCCGCTCGAGGCGGAGGCGCCGAGCGGAGGGGACCTTTTGGACTCCTCTTGGCTAAGCGCCGAGGGTCGTGCGAGGGGGTGGAGGGGAGGGGAGGGAGACGGCACGCGGCCTCGCACGGGAGTGCCACGGGAGCGCCGCGACGGGGCCATGGAGTGGACCCTCCCTTTGGACACCTCTTGGCCAGTCGCCGAGGGTCGTGCGGGGGGCGAAGGGCGAGGGGAGGGAGGCGACGCGCGGCCCGGCACGGGAGTGCCACGGGAATGCCAGGACACGGGCGGGACCCGTGCCGCACCGCCCCCGCAGCCGCTCAGCGGCCAGTCAGACCTTTCCCCCCCCCCCCCCCGAGGCGGGGGGGAGGGCGGGGCGGGGTCGGTTCGGGGGGGCCGTGGAGGCCTGGTCAAGCCAGGGCACTGGTGAGCACACCACAGCTGCGGGAAGGGGGCTCCTGACTTTTGGAGCGAGGCCCTGGATCATCGACTGAGTATGTCAGCTCCCGCCTTGGAAGGGCCATGAGGGGGACGGATGGGGTGAGGGGAGGCAGTGGGGATGGCGGGGGAGGATCGGGGGGAACGAGAGGGTAGGATAGCAAAGGGTAGGATAAGGGGATCGGCTCACGTAGCTGGCTTTCCTGACGCCTCCTGGCGCTGGGAGGCGCCAGTGAATCGAGGAATGGGCCTGGCGGCGGGGCGGAAACCAGCTGCATGTAGGCGGATGGAAGGGTGGGGGAGGATGGAAGACTTAGACGACTCAAAGACGAAGACAGATTCGGACGAGGATACATCGCGAATCTTTGAGATCCGGCAGCTCTGGAGGGTGTCTCGGGCGCGGCCGCCTTCTCGGAGCATTCCGGAACGCTCAGGAACGGACTTATCCTCGTCCTAGCCCCGTCCGAAGGAGGAGAGAGGGAAGTAGGGAGGGAGAAAGAGAGGGGGGAGGGAGGAAGGGAGGGAGGGGAGGAGGAACGAGGAGGAGTAGGAGTAGGAGTAGGAGTCAAGCTAGCCAGCTCGAGCGAGTCAAGCATGGCATGCCCAGTCCCACCCGCCCTCCCACAACAAAAGAAGCAAAGCTGGCACAACTGGGGGCCGAAGTCACACCGGCCAGCCGGTTTGGTACAGCTGATGCGGCCGCGATGGCGGTTGCCGACGGGAACTGGCGAGCGCGTGTTGAATGCCGCGCACGCATTGCCAGACGAGTCGAGAATGGCCCTAGGAGTAGGAGTAGGAGTAGTAGGAGGAGGAGGAGGACGAGGAGGAGGCTCGAGGAGGAGAAGGAGGCTCGAGGAGGAGGAGGAGGAGGAGGAGCAGGAGGAGGAGGAGGGAGGAGGAAGACCTCCCCAAGACCGGTTTTGCACTGGCCTGTGGCCCTTGCGGCTTTTGGCTCCGCTGCTGGAGCTGCTTCGGCCACGCTTCCGCCTGGCGGCCGCCTGGCGGGCGTTGCCATCTTCGTCAATAGCAGCACCGTCATCGCCGCCATCGCCACCAGCACCACCGCCTTCATTGTGATCAGCGGCAGTCACTATCACCGAAATCTCCAGAGCTAATAACTATCGTCTTTGCCATCGCCATCGCCACCGTCATCAGTATCGGCTCGTCTGCTATACTTTGATCAGGGCTGTTCGGCTCTGGTTCGGCCCTGGTATTAATCAAGTAGCGTCATCAAAAATATCACCGACCTTCGTAATCAATTCGGGAAGCAAGGTCACCGCTGAATTAGCTGCCGTCATCGTTCCACAACTTGTCATAACCATCACCAGCAGCAATGCCGTCGTCATTCCCTGCAGACAGCGTTTGGCAGTGTGACTTGTGGTGGCAGAACTACACTCGCAATGCGCATCATGTATGGAAACCGATCGCCTTGTAACTTGATCGGGCCAAGTTTGATAACCACCGTCAACAATGTCGCGTGGATGCCCAAGACAACGGCAACGCACCAGACCATGAGCGGCTTCATTCGGTGGAGAGAGGTGATCTCGTCTCTCTCTCTCTCTCTTTCTCTCTCTCGCCCTTTAGGGGGGACATCGTCAAACCATGTTGGGAAGAGCTCGCTGGCGAGCTCATCTTGGACGATTGCAACGCGCCCTATTTCGTACCAGTGGTGTGCTCATAACGTGTGATATCCTCTGTCGTGCTGCCTCCTGTCTCGACTTGAGTGCACTGCCAACCTCCTGGGCTCCCACGAGCAGGACTCCGACATTCACTGGGCAATGAAGCGGCTCCTACCCAAGTCTGAAGAGGGCCTCTGATTCCCTTGAAAAGTATTCGACTCGGGTCCGACCGCCGAGAAACCCATACCCATGAGGAAGCCTCCAGGTGTTCCCCCCAGTGATTTCTCTAACAGCGGGGGGAACATGCAGCCCACACAAACGTGCCCGCACTTTCGCTCGATAGTTCAAGAGGCAAGCGTTCCCAACAGGCAGGCGGCGGCGGCGGCGACTCCCCGCAGGCGTCGTCGATAGCGAGGATGCCACATATGGATACCAATGCGCGTGGACGTCCATTTTGGAGCAATCGCTGCGGCGTCAGGGTTTGAGGCTATGCCGAGGACGCACGGATGAAATGATTGCCTTGGCGAAGGGCTGCATGCACGCTAGACTAGCACATCGCTGCGAGGCTCCGTGACAAGCGGCACCAGAACGCACCAACTGCTACAAACTCATCCCGTCGCGAGTGAGTACGTCGACCGAGCTCCCGCGCTCAAGACCATAGCGCCGCGATTTTTGGTTTTTGGAAATCGCACGCGGACGTTAGAATACCTGGTTGCGCGGAGAAGTTGGCCGGTTGCTTCCCCTGTCTTCGCCTCCGACCTACGACGATGTGTTTCGCTCCTTCTTATTCTCCTCCTCCTTCTCCTCCTCCTCCTTCTCTTTCCTCCTCCTGCTCCCTCCTCCTCCTCCTCCTCCTCCTCCTAATATTGCTCCTTTTTCTCCTGCTCCTTCCGCTTTCTCCCCTGGTCTCCTTCTTCTCCTCCTCCTTATCCCCCTCATCCCTCCCCCTCCTCTCTCCTCCTCCTCCTCCTCTCCTCCTCCTCCTGTTGCTCCTCCTCCTCCTCCTCTTCCTCCGTCTCCTCCTGCTCCTCCTCCTCCTCCTCCTCCTCCTCCTCATACTCCTCCCTCCTCCTTTCCACCTCCCCCTCCCTCCTCCCTTCCCCCTCATCTCTCCCCCCTCTTCCATTGAGATCCTCCCTCCGCCTCTTCTTCTTCTTCTTCTTCTTCCTCCTCCTCCTCCTCCCTCATCATCCTTCTCTTCCTGGTCTTCCTCATCCTTCTCCTCATCCTCCATCATCCCTCCTTCCTCCTCGTTTCTCCCTCCCTCTTGCTCTTCCGTCGCCGTTTGGGCTCAAAGGATCTGGCGCCTCGAACAATGCGCTGTTGCTGCGACACCTTTATACAACATCGACGCCTTCGCGAGCGCTCGGGTGTCGGGCCCCGGCATGGCTCGCCGGCGCGATGCTAGAGGCGTCGCATCCAGTCGTGGCTCCACAGGTGGGCACGTCCCTTCGGTCTTGGACGCGGCCCAGCTCATGATCTCTGAGGTCCGACGATGTGAACATAGTGGAAACATCGGACAACACACGACATCAGCTTTCTGCGGCATTTTTCAGGCCGCATCGATATGGCTGGTCCCAGGGTCCGAACCCTGGCACAGGCGCCCGTTGCGAACAAGCTGCAACGTCCAGAGCTCCAGGCTGGAGCCGACGTTCTGGGGACCCAGCGGGCTATGGATATGGATATGGAGATGGATGTATTGATGTGTGTGTGTTTAGGTGCATACATATCCGTATGCATATACAAATATATGTGTACATCTATATATATATACATATAGATATGTATGTATATGTTCATATCCGCAGCCTTTAGAGGCCCGCAAATCAATCGATCCTCCAGTGGTGGTTTTGAGTATAAATCCCCGCCTCGAAGATTGGCAGGGCACCGAGAGCATGGCGAGCAAGACGCCCTCCATGGCTTCGAAGATGCATTGCGGACGAGGGCCGGGAGAGCCTCCCCCCGGCTCTCCAGGGCAAGCCCTCTGTCCGAGGACATTTGCGCGCACGGGGCCGGCTGCGAGGGAGAGAGGGGGGAGGTGGTGGCTCGGTCCGCGCTTCCACCAGGGCACAGGCCCACCCGCCCACCCTCCTCCTCCCACTCTTCTCCCTCCTCCTCCCGCCCCTCCCTTTCTCCCTCTCCTCCTCCTCCTCCTCCTCCTCCTCCTCCTCCTCCTCCTCCTCCTCCTCCTCCTCCTCCTCCTCCTCCTCCTCCTCCTCGTCCTCCTCGGCGTCCTCCTCCCCAGCTCCTCTTCCTTATACATAATTTCTCTCTGTCGCACGCCGAGGCCAATTTTTAGGGCGGGCCTGGCGTTTCGCCTGATACGTCCTGACCATTTGTGACCCTGAAGCTGAAATGTTGACAACAGTTTCACAGACGGAGGGGGGGTCATTTTCCAAGTGTGGTTCTCGCCTTAGCGTGGCGCGCATTCATTGTAACAAATTGCAAGAGCTTCACGGAATGAGGGCAGTTCCTTTGCAACATGTGGCTCTCGCCTTAGCGCCGCGCACCAAGCACGGTGTTTTGGAACGGCTCGGGATTCTGAGGGTGCAACAGTGACGTTGATTCGCGGTGTTGAAGTCCCAGTCCCAGGAACGGCGTTCTGGCGCGATTCAGGGCCGTCAAGACGCACTCGTCAGGTTTATCCGTGGCGTTGGAATCCCGAGAACAATGTTTTGGCATGCTTCAGGGTCTTCACACGGCTGTCTTCCAACGAAGCAGTTCCCCCAATGGAAATGAACCATTGTGGGGCCTATGAAAAGGGAGCTTGTAGTGAGGGTTTATTCCAACATCGTTGATGCCTCTTGGGTTTACACTGGTCCTCCTCCTTCTCCTCCTCCTCCTCCTCCTCTCCCGACCCGTGCGTCCACGTAGACGTCATGGATGCGCTGGCGCAGATGCCCAGCATCCCCGACCAGGCCTGGGTGAAGCGTGATATAGAGAGGCAACATGCACTCAGGCAGCAGCAGGGACCTCTGAAGATTGTGCAGTCCGAATTGCCCTGCCATGAGGCTAAGAGACCCAATCATCAGAATGAACTCGCTGAGAAGTTGGCGCAGCTCGACTTGGTGGAGGAAAGGCTGGACTCGCTCCAGGCCGTCCTTCGCAGGCACGCTGCATGATAACATCCTGAAGCAAAGCGATATGCACCAGGGGATCATGGCCTTGGAAGACGCTGTAACGAATCACATCCCGACGCGGTTCGAGGTCGTGGCCGTCAGAGTGGAGGGCCACGTGCAGAAGCTGACCGACCAGCCTGACAGCAAGAGCAAAGCGAAGGAAGTACTCCTGGAAAGCCAGGCTTAGGAGCTGCACTGGAGTGGGTTAAACAGCACGCCGGTATCTTCGACAAGGTCACCGCCATGGAGAACACCATGGCCAGCCTTAGTCAGACCAACATGGCGAAGGCGGTCATCCTCATCTCCGTGGAGGACAGTCTGAGCGCCCAGTACGACATGACGGCCTCTCATCACCATCTCCGTAGAAGACCAGAGCTCGGTGAGAGACGCGACGGTTTCCGTACCATGAGCAGAGTCATGATCTTGAAGGAGGACCTCGGCCAGAGGGAGAACAAGGAGGAACGGGGGGAGCTCGCGCTTCAGCACAAGACAGGAAATTCCCAAGCGGGGAGTGAGGACTATAGCCTGCGAGCCCGCTGTGGATGACCGTGCAGCGAACGTTTTAACAAGCTCCACACATCAAACTTCGCCCGAGCGACGGGAGGGTCTCGACGAACGGCTTCCCGCAGGAAGCAGCTGCAGCAAAGGATCGTGGTCGGGGTCTCGCACTCGGAAGAATACCGTCGGGCTGCCGACAGAAAGAACCAAAACGAAAGGAACGAACCCCCTGTTTGGCCCCCAAAGCGCCTGCGTGCACGAGGAGGGATAGAAACACAGCCATGGAAAAAAACCCAAGGAACACCAAACCCCTTCCGAGCCAAAAACGTTTCTTAGTTCAGCGTTTCGACTGCACGAGACTCGCAAAGAGTTCGACAGCGTTTATCTTCCTCGTTTCTCGACGCCTCCCCTCGCGCCTCCCCTCTTCCCCCTTCCAACAGGCGCCGTCTCGGCGTTTGCGCGAGGCAGCCCGGGTTGCAGCAACCCGTTGCGCCGTCGGAGCATCGTGTGGCAGCGAACCAGGCGGCAGAACCGCCACTCGCTCACTAGGACGAGAAGAATATATTAACACAGCGTGCTATTGAAACGTTCAGGGGATTCTGGGATTTCGAACAGTGTTTGCGCGGGGTGCACTTTGCGTCGAGTATTGTCTACACGGCCTGGCGCCACTAGTCGGTCACCCACTCGCAATCGATAGTCGCCCGTATGGGGGCTATTTGGCACTTGCTGATCCCCCTTTTCGTCGCCGAGCGCGGGGGGGGACGTTGGCGCACCGCCCTGTCGCCCGCCGCCGCGCACTGCGCGCCTCGACTGATTTCCAAAGACCTAGAAAAGCAAACCACGCGCGACAATTCTCCAGGGGTAGATTAAACAACTCCGGGAACGTGTTTGACAATGCTCAGCCTACTTTCTGAAACATCCCAGAATCGATCTTGAAAAATTCGGGGATCGATTTCGAAAAAATCCGGAATCCATTTTGAAAATTCCGGATTTCAGAATCCTTCAGATGTCCTGCGCGGCGGGCGCATCCCACCATTTTTGTATTCATTTTTTGTTTACGAAAAACTGACTCGTTGTTCGGAACCGCTGGCGCCAAAAAGCGGGAAGCGTTTTTCGAAGCATTCCACAGTCCGGAAGTAATTTCCATGTGGTCCGACGGGCGAGGCTGGCTAATTCACGCACAGCGCCGCGTGCGATTGGGCGCAGCGCGCGCCGTGCCCTGCGCCCGCGAACAGCATTCGAAGGGGTTACCTCGAAAATCGCACCACGGCAGCTACGACTCACGGACCCCCCAAGAGCAAAACAGAATGCAGCTTGGAATCTCCGAGGGCGCTCCGGTGCACGAAAGATGCACCGCGCACACCACGCAAAGCACCTGCGCGACGGAATGCACTCGACCATTCGTCCCTGGAGCCTGCGCGGAAGAACGGGAAAACCTGAAAATCTGGAAACTCAATATCAATACTTCATGCTCCTCTGACTCACGTACCCGAGCTGGGGCGGATGACTCTTGCTGGCAGGCGGACTGGCCGGCAGCGTGGCCAACTGAAGAGCAATCCAATCCCCGTTTTCCTCCTCCTCCTCCTCCTCCTCCTCCTCCTCCCCATCCTCCCCTCTCCTCCTCCTCCTCCTCCTCTCCTCCTCCTCCTCCTCCTCCTCCTCCCCCTCCTCTCCTCTCTCCTCCTGCTCCTGCTCCTTCTCCTCCTCCCTCCTCCTCCTCCTCCTCCTCCTCCTCTCCTCCTCCTCCCTCCTCCTCCTCTCCTCCTCCTCCTCCTCTCCTCCTCCTCCTCCTCCTCCTCCTCCTCCTCTCCTCCTCTCCTCCTCCTCCTCCTCCTCCTCCTCCTCCTCCTCCTCCTCCTCCTCCTCCTCCTCCTCCTCCCTCCTCCTCCTCCTCCCTCCTCCTCCTCCCTCCTCCCTCCTCCTCCCTCCTCCTCCTCCTCCTCCTCCTCCTCCTCCTCCTCCTCCTCCTCCTCCTCCCCCCCGACCCCCGGGAGCGCCTTGCGGCGGGCGGCGGAGGAGCTGCTGGACGAGGCCGAGCGGGCGCGCTTCTGCCTGGCCTTCTCCTGATGGCCGGGGTGGGCACCGGAGAAGGACTCGCCGTCGCTCGGACGGCGGGCAGGCGGAAGGGGGGCCGGGTCGAGGCAACAGGCAGGGAGCAGGAGGAAAGGGAGGGAAGCAAAGAAGAGCAGAAGAGGGGAAGCAACCGCGAGCACTCAGGCCAGGCCAGGGGAGGGAGAGAAAGGCCAACCGAACCGAGACTACGGACCCTACGGCGGCGACACCGACCAGGCGGCGCAAGCGCGGCGGTGGAGTAGGCGGCGGGCGGCGTCCACTCCCCGTGATCGGCGACACTTAGGCCGGCATGGCCCCACTACAGGCGGTTTTTTGACGAAAAACTAGAGAATACTTATGACTTAATCGACAAGGCGGATTTGGGGCGAACAATTGAAAATAACTAAAAGTAATACCACAAAAAAGTTTAGTAGAACAATCGTCCCTCGACCACTTTTTCCATTCTCCCCTCTAAGATATTCCTCCTGTAGAGGGACATGCCCGACGTAAGGCTACACGCGAGAGTGGCCCTCGGCAAAGAGAGCGACCTTTGGTGCGCGGCTCCGGGGGAGCCGCGGAGGGGCCAAACCCAAGCGCGCAGGGCGCAACCGTCGCCTCGCGCCTGGCGATCGGGGGACCCCAAGTGGGCCCGCACCAGAGGTCACTCCGGCGAAGGGCCACTCTTACATTTTTTTTTTTCAGCGCTATTTTGGAGAGGAGGGAGGAAGAGGCGAAGGGGAGACAAAAGAGGAGGGAAGGAGGAAGAGGAGGGCGACGACGAGGACGAGGAGTGGGCAGCGTGGTCGCCGAACATTGGTCGGCACGCATACGGAAAGGTTAAACTGCAGCGTCAGCCCATACAAGAAGGGCCACTCTTACATGCGCGGCCGGACCTAGGACAAGAGAGCACCATTCAAGAACGCGAGGCCCTCCGCCGGCCAACGCACACAGAGAACATCGAAAGGTACCCCTCCCCAGGATGCACACAGAACGTGCAGCAGGCGCGAAACACATCAGGGTACCCTCCCCGAACCGACCTCGATCTTGTACCTCGGTCCGGCCGCAGTCGATGGACGTCCTGAGGTCTCAGGGTTGGGTTTCTCGTGGAAGGTTTCTTGTGGGTCGGTCTCCACCGTGCGTGCAGTCGAGCAGGGAGAGGGGCAGACAGGGTCGCCCAGGGGGCGGCCAGGACGGGCGGCTCTCACACTCCCAGCGGGCAACATGAGCGGGCGCTCTGGCGTGTCGCAGCTCTGCGAGGCAGCTCTGCTCGCGTGCACTGGTCTATGCAGCTTCGGAGCTCCCTGTCGTGCGCGCGCCGACGAGGGGGGGGCACGTCGGTGCCGTCGCGACAGCTCGCCGTCGCTCGGGCGTCCGTTCCCTGCGCATTTGTTGGGATCGTGCGTGTTTTCGGTGGCGCGGTGTTCGAGGATGCTCCTCGAGTATCCTCGCCGAGAATACATGCACACGTCCGCGCGATGCCAAGACAAAGAGAATTCTGCTACCGCGATTCAGCCACACATTGGTTCTTCAGTCGGGCTGCTGCAAGAAGGAACGATCGGAAGGAAGTCCCTTTCTGGGACTAAAAACAGCCGAAGTGCCTGAGGAGGGCTAGAGGGATCACCACGGAATGACCCAAAGAACATCGGCCCCCTTCCGTGCCCAGAGTGTTCGTTGTTTCAGCGTCTTGACTGTACTGCGATTTACCCGCGTATTGGTTCTATTTGGAGTCTGGACCCAAAAAGGTTGCCAGTTCTTGGGTTATGTTGCTCCCATCGTACTTAAGGACCACATCCCAGAAATTATTTCGAGCACCTGGAAACGTGTCGAAAGAGTGTCGAAACAGTGCCGGACGAGTGTCTCCCAGGGCCCGACGCGTGACAACCCTCCAATTTCGGTACTTTCACGGCGCTCGAAATTCTTCCTGGTGGCCAAGGCTAAAGTAGGTGGGAACATCATATACTCTTGGGGGCGCAACTTCTGCTTCCGCTGGCTTCCGCTGGCCTTCCGCCGGCTTTCGCCGGGGCGGAGGCGGCCTCGCACGACTTCCGCGGGCTTCCGCCGACCTTGCCGCCGGCCTCCGCCGCGAAGAAGACCCACCCCCACCCCCGCCCCCCAGAGCTGACGTCCCGGCATCCCCACGAGAGTTCAGATCTCGGGCCCCCCCCCACCCGACACTGAAAACACCCCGCTACCGCCCCGCCGTCGACATGGTTCACAATCGTCCCCCTCCCCCCCCCACACACCCGACACTTTCTCGCCCGAAAACACCCCAGAGTTCAGATCCTCACCCCCCCCGCCCGGCAATTTCTCCTTCGAAAACACCCCGCCGGCGCCCCGCCGTCGACCTGGTCCACAATCACCCCCCCCTCCCCCACCCCCCCGCAGAGCTGACGTCCCGGCATCCCCGCGAGATTCAAATCTGAGGCCCCCCCACCCGACACTTTCTCGCCCGAAAACACCCCGCCACCGCCCCGCCGTCGACCTGGTCCACAACTCCCCCCCAACCCCCCAGAGCTAACGATTCGGCATCCCCGCGAAGGTTGAGGTCTTGGGCCCCCCTCTCCCACTCGACACTGTCTCGCCCGAAAACACCCCGCCCCCGCCCCGCCGTCGACCTGGTCCACAATCCCCCCCCAGAGCTGACGTCCCGGCGCCCCACGAGGAGTTCGAATTGGGGCACCCCACCCGACACTTTCTCCCCTGAAAACGCCCGCCACCGCCCGCCGTCGACCCGGTCACAATCCCCCCCCCCCCCCCAGTCCACAATCCCCACCCGCCAGACATCCTACGAATGTTTCAATCTTGGCCCTCCAGATGGAATGTCTCGCCCGAAAACACCCCGCCACCGCCCCGCCGTCGACCTGGTCCACAATCCCCCCCCATTCCCCAGAGCTGCCGCCCTGGCATCCCCGCGAGATTTTAGATCTTGGGCCCCCCCACCCGACACTTCCTCGCCCGAAAACACCCCGCCACCGCCCCGCCGTCGACCTGGTCCACAATCCCCCCCTCAACCCCCAGAGCTGACGTCCCGGCGCCGTCCGCGAGAGTTCAGATCTTGGGCCCCCCCACCCGACACTTCCTCGCCCGAAAACACCCCGCCACCGCCCCGAGTCGACTGTCCCCATCCCCCCCCCATTCCCTGAGTGAGCCCCAGCGTCCCCGCGGTGAGTTCAGATCTTTGGGCCCCCCACCCCCCACCGGACACATCCTCGCCCGTAAACACCCCCCCCCGCCCCGCCGTCTCGACCTGGTCCACATTCCCCCCTCCATTCCCTGAGCTGCGCCCCCCCAGCGTCCCGCGAGAGTTCAGATCTTGGGGCCCAGGGCCCCCCCACCGGACTACATCTGCCCGGGAAAGCACCCCGCCACCGCCCCGACGTCGACCTGGATCCACAATCCCCCTCAACCCCCAGAGCTCGTCCCGGCGCCGTCCGCGCGAGTTCAGATTTGGCCCCCCCACCCGACACTTCCACGCCGAAAACACCCGCCACCCGCCCGCCGTCGACCTGCGTCGACAAGCCCCCCCCATTCCCCTGAGCTGCCCGCCCCCGCGTCCCCGCGAGAGTTCAGATCATGGGCCCCCCACCCGCCACTTCCTCGCCGGAACAACCCGCCACCGGCCCCGCCGTCGACCTGGTCCACAATCCCCCCCCATTCCCATGAGTGCCTCCCCAGGCGTCCGCGAGTGAGTTCAGATTTGGGCCACCCCACCCGACTTTCTCGCCCGATAGCACCCCGCCCCCGCCCCGCGGTCGATGGTCCACAATCCCCCCGAATTCCCCTGAGCTGCCGCCCCGACGACCCGCGATGAGTTCAGAAAGGGGTAGTTCCCACCCGACACTTCCTCGCCCGAAAGCACCCCGCCACCGCCCCGCCGTCGACCTGGTCCACAATCCCCCCCTCAACCCCCAGAGCTGACGTCCCGGCGCCGTCCGCGAGAGTTCAGATCTTGGGCCCCCCCACCCGACACTTCCTCGCCCGAAAACACCCCGCCACCGCCCCGCCGACGGACCTGGTCCACAAATCCCCCCCATTCCCCTGAGCTGACGCCCCAGCGTCCCGCGAGAGTTCAGATCTTGGGCCCCCCCACCCGACACTTCCTCGCCCGAAATCACCCCGCCACCGCCCCGCCGTCGACCTGGTCCACAATCCCCCCCTCAACCCCCAGAGCTGACGTCCCGGCGCCGTCCGCGAGAGTTCAGATCTTGGGCCCCCCCACCCGACACTTCCTCGCCCGAAAACACCCCGCCACCGCCCCGCCGTCGACCTGGTCCACAATCCCCCCCCCATTCCCCTGAGCTGCCGCCCCAGCGTCCCCGCGAGAGTTCAGATCTTGGGCCCCCCCACCCGACACTTCCTCGCCCGAAAGCACCCCGCCACCGCCCCGCCGTCGACCTGGTCCACAATCCCCCCCTCAACCCCCAGAGCTGACGTCCCGGCGCCGTCCGCGAGAGTTCAGATCTTGGGCCCCCCCACCCGACACTTCCTCGCCCGAAAACACCCCGCCACCGCCCCGCCGTCGACCTGGTCCACAATCCCCCCCCCATTCCCCTGAGCTGCCGCCCCAGCGTCCCCGCGAGAGTTCAGATCTTGGGCCCCCCCACCCGACACTTCCTCGCCCGAAAACACCCCGCCACCGCCCCGCCGTCGACCTGGTCCACAATCCCCCCCCCATTCCCCTGAGCTGCCGCCCCAGCGTCCCCGCGAGAGTGGCCCCCCAACCCGACACTTCTCGCCCGAAAGCACCCGCCCACGCCCAACTCCCCCTGGTCCAAATCCCCCCCGATTCCCTGAGATGCCGCCCCAGCGTCCCGCGTGTTCAGATCTTGGCCCCCCCACCCGACACTTCCTCGCCCGAAAGCACCCCGCCACCGCCCCGCCGTCGACCTGGTCCACAATCCCCCCCTCAACCCCCAGAGCTGACGTCCCGGCGCCGTCCGCGAGAGTTCAGATCTTGGGCCCCCCCACCCGACACTTCCTCGCCCGAAAACACCCCGCCACCGCCCCGCCGTCGACCTGGTCCACAATCCCCCCCCCATTCCCCTGAGCTGCCGCCCCAGCGTCCCCGCGAGAGTTCAGATCTTGGGCCCCCCCACCCGACACTTCCTCGCCCGAAAGCACCCCGCCACCGCCCCGCCGTCGACCTGGTCCACAATCCCCCCCCCATTCCCCTGAGCTGCCGCCCCAGCGTCCCCGCGAGAGTTCAGATCTTGGGCCCCCCCACCCGACACTTCCTCGCCCGAAAGCACCCCGCCACCGCCCCGCCGTCGACCTGGTCCACAATCCCCCCCTCAACCCCCAGAGCTGACGTCCCGGCGCCGTCCGCGAGAGTTCAGATCTTGGGCCCCCCCACCCGACACTTCCTCGCCCGAAAACACCCCGCCACCGCCCCGCCGTCGACCTGGTCCACAATCCCCCCCCCTCCCCCCCGCCCCCCAGAGCTGACATCCCCGCACCCCGCCACCGCCCCGCCGTCGACCTGGTCCACAATCCCCCCGCCACAATCCCCCAGAGCTGACGTCTCAGCATCCCCGCCCCACACAAACCCCGCCCCCCCCCACCCACACCTCCACCCTGCCCCCGCCGTCGACCTGGTCCGCAATCCGCATCCACTAGAGCTACGTCTGGCACGTGGCCATCACTCCCCACCTCACAGACGCTCTATTCTTGCACCCTGCATTCGGCAATCTCTTCCCATACTCCTTCGGCCGACCCCCCCCCAGCTGCCCCGGCGGTGGGCAGAGGCGGGCGCTCGCGCTGGTGGCGGGCGAAGCGTTTCTGTTGGAGGACGGGGGGGCGGACTTCTCAGCGCGACGGTGATGCAAACGCGAAGCACCAGATCTGCTCGGATACACCATGCCATCGGACTACAAGAAACACACTAGCTTCAGAGAGACACAGACGGGCCCAGTAAAATGGGGCATCCTGCGAAGGTGGCCGAAATGCGGAGAGAAGAGGAAAGAGCAAGGACAGGGAGCAGAGGACGGAGAAAGGGGAGGAAGGCAAAGGCACGCTCTAGCCGAACGTTCCAAAATTTCTCGGCGTCACGCTATCCAGCCGGCCGCCGCTCCCTCGCCGCCCGCGCCCCTACCCCCCCTTCCTCTTCTTCGAGACCGACGCCCAGCTCCGCTCGGCGACGTCTTTCTTACCGCGTTCTTGCTCCGAGAAACAGGCGTTGCACCTCTGTTTACCATCGGAAGTTGTCGCCGTTCGTTTTCCCAACCAGGAACTGAACTCAACTTTCTCGAGCGCGCCTGTGCAAGCAATGCATTTCCATTGGCCACGAGGGGTTTTCACCGACGCCACGCATTCCTTGCACTTGCGCTTCGTTGCTGTGACGCCCTTCCACATCCACGACGCGACCTGCGGGTGCCAGCGCACTACCGCGTGGACACATGCGGCGGAAAAGGCAGTCGCTCATCTTCTGGATGCGTCTGGGTAAATCAGCATCGTCCCCGTCATTGTCCTCCTCCTCCTCCTTCCCCCCCCCTATCCGCCTCCTTCATCCCGCAGGTCCTTGGACCTCGGCTCCCTCTCCTCCTTCGCCTTCTCCCTTTCCTTCGCCTTCGCCTTCCGCGTCTTCTCCTTGTCGCCCTCGGCCTCTTTCGCCTCGGCGGCCTGGAGGATTGGAGGATGACCGCAATGCTGCTGCCGATGCCGATGCTGGCTGATGATAACGGTATTGATGGCGCTGATGATGATGATGATGATGATGATGATGATGATGATGATGATGATGATGATGGTGGTGGTGGTGGTGGTGGTGATGGTGGTAACGCTGATGTGCCGACGATCGCGGTAACGATGACGGCACGCCGCCGCCGCTGCTGCCGATGACGATGCCGATGAGGATGAGGATGCTGCTGCTGACGATGATGATGCAGACACCGATGATGTGGATGACGATGCCGATGACGATGGCGATGATGGTGATGATGATGGGGATGATGCTGGTGATGGTGGTGATGATGACGATGACGACGGGGATCATGATGATGCCGATGAGGATGAGGATGAGGATGAAGCTACTGATGATGAAGATGATGATGATGATGATGCTGATGCTGATGATGATGGTGATACTGATGATGTCGCTGAAGATGATGATGATGATGACGATGATAATGATCATGATGCTGATGCTGATGCTGATGCTGCTGCTGCTGCTGCTGCTGATGATGATGATGATGATGATGATGATGATGATGATGATGATGATGAATGCGATTATGATGCTGATGCTGATGCTGCTGACGATGATGATGACGACCACGATCGCCCATGAAAATGAGGGGGGGGGAATGCGCAGAACTTCGAGGGTATCCTCTCCCAGCCGCCCCCCACACGGGCCTCCTTCGCCTCGGCGGCCTGGGCCTCGGGCTCCTGCCCCACCTGATGGGGAGCACAAGGCCGCCTGCTCCCTCACGGAAGGGACGCTGGCATTAGGTCGGGCGTGCCCTCCTACAGGCGGACTTTGGACGACTGATGAAAATGAGCTAAACAAATCATCATACCCGGTTAAACATCGTAGGAAAGTCGTCCCCAGACTATTTGTTTTACTATTTTCGAATCTTCCTCCTGTAGAGGAACATGCCCGACTTAACGCTGGCAACGTGGCGCGCCTGCCTCGCAGACCTGCCCCGATGGACGCCTCCTGCCTCCCATGACCAGCCTCGAACCCATCCCTGTCCCTAAGATTGCCAAGCCAAGGGGCGATGGCAATCTTAGGGATGCGCCTTCAGAAGCCGAGGGGATCCCTGAGGTCGGCATCGGGACGAGGCCATGCAAGGCATAGGGATAGGGATATGTTCCAGGCTGGTAATCCCAAGGGTCGGGGGCTGCTGGGCGGTCCAGGTGCCACCTGCTCTTCGCGCCGCTTGGGACCCCCAGGGGCCCAGCTGGGCCTCGTGAGGACTGCTCTGGATAGAGGAAGAAAAAATTGCATGGACATAAATTTTTGGAGGTCCGCGCGGATTTCTTGGATCTGCGCTGTAGTCCTCCACTTCCTGGCGCGCGGAGCGCGCCAGGGGCGGCGCCGGAGGCGCCGCCGGGGGGTGCCCAGCGCGGATCCAGGAAATCGGCGCGGAGGGCCAACAGTTCATGTTTATGGCGTTTGTTCTTCCTCCATTGCCGTATGACGACCCAGCACGCTCCTCGCTGGTCCCCACCGAGAGAAAAAAAGGTGCACACCTCCGAGCGATGCCACGCCTGCGTCTCGCTCTGTGGGCTCTGCCTCCCCTCGGAGGCGGGCCCCCCCCCCAGGGCGCCGGGCCCGGGGGGTCGGAGCCGCCAGTGGCGACAGGCGACAGCTGGCAGCGCCCGGGAAGGGGGCGCCGGCGAGGGGGGAGGGCGTCGTCCTGCGGAGGGCCGGGGATCGCAGGAGGGGCGCGCCCATCGGGGGGGGGGCGGAGGGGCAGGACAGCAAAGGGCCGGGCAGAGAAGGAGCTCCTGTAGTTGGTCTTCGTGGCGCCTCCTAGCGGCAGGGAGCGCCTGGGCGCATCGAGGGATGGGCCCGGCCGCGGGGCGTCCGTTGGCGGCGCGTGCAGGGGGGGCAGGTGTAGGAGGGAAGGCCTCTTGGAAGGAGGCCGCTTCGTGGAAGGCGCCAGCCCTACACCTATGTGCAGGCAAGGCCCGCACCTTCTAAGAAGCAGGGGACCTTCTAAGAAACCTCCCCCCCTCCCCCGTTATTAGCACGGGCCTGCCTGCTACAGGCGCCAAATCAAGTACATTGCTGCGTTTTTGCGGTTTGGTTGCCTTTTTGGTTGGCGCTTGCCCCTCCGCCACATTGTCGCGAGATCCACGCGCGCGTGGCGCGCGCCCCTGACCTGCTTGCCGCGGCGTTTGCCGCATTTTTGCCGCGCGCTTGCGTTTCCGACCTCTTGCAAAATTTGATGCCTGCGGTTCCGCGCCAAATCGTTTGTCGCATCCTTTGTCGTTCGCCTTGTTGCAGCCGTTCTGCCTGCCCTTGAAGACCGCCTCAGGGGAGGCGGCGCGCTTGAGCAAAACATTGATGTTTTTGTGGTGTCTGCGTTTGGCAAAACATTGGTGTTTTTTTGCCGCGTCCGCTGCCGCCATGGCGACAAAAAAACAACAATGTTTTGCCTAAATTTGTGGCGCTGTCTTTTTTTGTAATGCACACACGAAGTTTCGTATGTTTTGCTCGTTTTGTCGCACGCACTTGCGCAATGCTGCCGCGCGGGCCATAGTTTTCGCACTGCGCGCCATCGTGTTTGTAGTTCGCGCCAGACAGGCACACATCACAACATTGCGCTTCAAAACCACACCGCGTGCACCTTCGCAATTGTTATCTTGCGGGTTGCGCTCGTGATGCAACCCGATCCGGTGCATTCATGCTGTGTTCCTTGGCGTGCACATCGTGTTTTTCCGTTGCCCGATGCTTGAATGTGTGGTGGATTTGCGGACACATTTGCAATCGAATTCATTTGCAGGCGCATCTGCTTGCGCCCGCGTCTTGTTACCGTCGCTTCTGGTTCTTGGTTTTTCTGGTTGAATCAAGTGCCTAGATACAGGCGCGGTTGGTTCAAGCTGCGTCTGGTCACGCGCGCGTCTGCTTACGCCCAGGTCTGCTTGTATCCGCGTCTGATTACACCCGCGTCTGCCTTCGACCACGTTTCTTACACCCGCGTATGGATACAGCCTCGTCTATTGGCGCCCGCGTCCAGGTACATGTGCGCCTGTTTAATGATGGCGACGACGGTGAAGAAGTTGACGATGATGATGGTGGTGATGAGGCGGAGGGCGAGGGGGAGGAGCAGGAGGAGGAGGAGGAGGGTGGTGGTGGTGTCGATGATGATGAAGTTGATCTTGATGTTGTTGATGACGATGATGCTGATGATGCTGATTGATGCTGATGGTGATGGTGATGTGTGGTGATGGTTATGTTGATGATGGCGATGTTGATTGTGATGGTGACGGTGATGTTGATGGTACGATGGCAGTGGTTTTGACGATGGCCACGATGGCGATGGTGATGATGGGGGGATGGCGAGGGATAGTGATGGTGATGAGACGGGTGGAGGAAAGGAATACCTGAAAACCGGATAAAAGCCATGAGAGCGCGGCCAAGTTGCCCGATCGCGCCTAGAAGCAATTGCCAATCGAACGACTCCCCACAGGCCCCCTCTGACACGTCCCGCAGTCGGGTTCTTTGATGCAGTGCTCCGCGTGGTGGCCGAATAAGCACACGTATGCGGGCGGGCACGCGCGGGCGGGCGACGACGGACGAGGGGGCTCAAAACTAAAACACCGCACCAGATTTCGGGTGCTTACCTTCTGGATCCTGGCGATGGCCTCCCGAGGCCCAAGCGCCAAGACACCCGAGAGCGGTGGCCCACATAGGCCACGAAGCTTCGGACTGAGCCGACGAGCACAATAGGAACCGCACTCACAACAAAAAATGGATGGGCCATGTCGCCCCATTCTATGCACCAGGGCAGTGAAAACATCGAAGTCACCCTCCTCCCTCACAGGACCAGGCCCCGAGGCAGGAGAATCCGCAAGCACCCCAGGCCCCGCGAACGGCCCCTCATCCGCACTCAGACCCAGGACCCCGTCAGCAGCCACCGTGGCCAGCGGCGCCGCCTCGGGCCTGGCCTGGGGCGGCGGCGCGTCCGCGTGCAAACCGCCACGGCTGAACGCCAGTCTGGCTTGCTCGCGCTGCAGGAGTGAGGGAAAGCATTCCCGACCGCTACCTGCCGTAACATGCCGCAGCGTGGAGGTCGTCTTCCCTTTTTAGGTAAACAATGCCTGCGCACAAGGAAAGCTCCTGCCTGAAAAAACACGTGCTCCTGCAAGCTAGGAAGAGTCGGCGTCGGAGAAGGAGGGTGGCACCGCCTCGGCCCCGCGGAGGAACGAGAGGAGAGCTGCTCTCCCACCACTTCCTTATGGGCAGCACTCTGGGCGGCAGCCCGACCATAAAAAAATGGCCGCGTGTTTGGCGATCTGGAGCCTGTCTCTCTGAGCCTCCACATGGGCATCAGAGACCCAATGGTCCATGGCCTCATCTTCGGCGAAAACACCGGCCCATGCACTCCCGAACCACCATTCAACAGGGCCCCCCCCGTGTCAAAAACTCCAGAAAGTCAAGGTGCCCGCGCGGAAAAACTGCCTCCAGATATCAGCATGGGTTCCGCTCGCAGGCGCATTGACGTCAGACCATGCACCCCCCTCGCGCACAGTCCCAAGGCGGTCCGAAATCACCAGGACCAGGGAAGGAAACAACTGGAATCCCCGCAGCACGGCATACCTCTCAGAGCGGCCCACAGTTTGGATCGGTCCTGGTAGTGGCCCGTTGGCCGCGCGAAGGGGGGCGCCACCGTCTCCCATCTGCACAGCCGACCACCGCATCTCCGACATTCCGGCCAGGAGCTATGCATCCGCGACCTGCCAACAAGAAAAACCACAGGCCCCAAAATACCAGGACCCGACGTCCAATCGTACCAGAATAGGTGGGAAGGCACAAATGAGGACTCGGGGGAGGCTGAGGGCCTGGGGGAGACCTACGCAGAACCTAGCCAGGTGCAAGCTATCATGACCAAACACATCTACAGCTTCCTCACTCAGCCTCCCCCTCGTATTTTCCAACTCCTTGCTCCAGGCAGACAAGCCCCGAGCATCATCCAACTCCGACAGATTCGGACATGCATACATGAGATTTCCCAGGTCGCCCACAGGAGCTCCCTGCTGGCATTGAGGAGGTGTGCACACATGTGGTTGAATACATCCACGTTGGTGCCGCTTTTGCGGAGCCATAAATCCACCAGGCCATAAGCAACGAAGAGCACCAGCCACCTGCGGAGAAGCAATGGCAGCTTGCTTCCCGCAAGTATTTAAAGGTAGCGTTCGCATCCACACTTGCCATCCACCTTCACAATGGCCCACCCGATGCTTCAGAATCCGACAGCCTCGCCAGCGTCGAACTCCATCACTGAGCAACCTTCGAATGTCTTTGGGGAGCGACTTGCATGGCATTATCGCACTGCCCATCAACGCTGGGAAACACCGCGCTGCTTAGCACGTCCCATACTACCCTGCGCAGCGAGAGCCATGTGGCTGCCACTGGGCCACGCACACCTTTCCAAGACGGGGGCGCCGCCTCCCATTTCTGCTGTTCGGCTCTGGCCATCTCCTACAGGGAACTGGCATACATCGTCACGATGTTTAGGGTGGCGCCGAATATGGGATCCGTCCATGGGTCCTTCTGCGTCGCTATATAAGCTGTAAGGCTGAGACCCTTAGAATGAACCCCAGCAAGTGCACCTGCCGTTCGCCTCGGCATCCGCAGGTCCGCCTCAGGCACCCCAGAGCCAGAGCTCCCATGCGCAGCTGCCGACAAGAGCCCAGTGCGCCATATGGCACGCGTCTTAGCTCCT